TTTCCTCTCAATTGCTGCATTCCAGATTTGCCCCTCTCTTCATCCCCAAGGTGGGTTTTTGAGGTCCCTCCCAATCCAAACCACTCCACAATTCCATGGTTCTGCCCCAGTTTTTGTGAGGTTTTTGTCACAATCTCCCCCAGCAGCCTCGGGGTTAAACTGGGGGAGGTTTGGACTGGGTGGATGAAAAACGTGGGGATGAAAAAGGGGCTGATTCTGGAGCTGGTGCTGTTTAACAGCTTCATTAAAACCCTGGATTATGGGATGGACTTGGAAAATTCTCAAATTGGGGTGAGGGGCTGGGATGGAGGAACTGGGATGGGGGAACTGAAATGGGGGAACTGGGATGGGGTAACTGGGATGGGGGACTAGGATGGGTAACTGGGATGGATGAGGCAACTGGGATGGGGGACTGGGATGGGGAACTGGGATGGAGGAACTAAGATGGGGGAACTGGGATGGGGAACTGGAATGGGGGAACTGGGATAGATGGGGGAACTGGGATGGAGGAACTGGGATGGGGTAACTGGAATGGGGGAACTGGGATGGGATAACTGGGATGGATGGGGGAACTGGGATGGGATAACTGGGATGGATGGGGGAACTGGGATGGAGGACCTGGGATGGGGGAATTGGGATGGGGAACAGGAATGAGGGAACTGGGATAGATGGGGGAACTGGGATGGATGGGGGAACTGGGATGGGAGGGCTGTGAGAAGCAGCTTGGGAGACAAACTGGACCAAATCAGACCTGGAAGCGAGGGCTGAGCTGGCCCTTGGTCTGCGGGCCCTGAGCCACCGTTCTTGGAACTGGGAAGAAAATCCCTAATAAAACAAGGCCTCTCCCAAGGTAAATTTCAGGTACGTGGTTTTTTATTTGGAATAAGACACGAGAAAAAGAAACTGCTGTGGTGAAGAAAATGAGGATTAATTTCCTTTTTTTGCCCTTCCCAGCTCTCCGTGGTGGTTGTGTGAGGACATGCCCGGCTCATGCCGAGGCAACACAAAGAAATTACAAAGAAATTACAAAGAAATTAAATTATTTATTTTCATGCCCTTTGCGGGAGGCTTTTTTGGCAAAGTGAGGAGAAGCAGCAGGTTACCCTTGTTCCTGCACCTTCCTGCAGAAGCGAAAAGGCATCCCCGGCATGCACAGCCACCCCTCCCGTGCCGGGCCACGCGCTCATTATCATAATTAACATGCAAATGAGGATGTGCGCTGCTCCCATTCGGGGGATGAAGGCGCAGGGCAGATGTTGGTGCCCGGCTCTGCCCATACCGAGCTCCCGGGGTGGGTAAACCACGGTGGAGAGGATTTTCCAACCTGGAGAAAACCCTGAGGGCAGAGCTGAAACCTTGATTCCGATTTAAATGTACGAGTTCCCTCGGGAGAGTTTGAATGGTTTTCAGCATCTCATTGCAATGTCGGTGGGCGAAAAAGAGAGGAACCGAGAGTTTGCTAAATTATGTTCAACTTTATTCTTGATTTTCCAACCTGGAGAAACCCCTGAGGGCAGAGCTGGAGCCCTCCCGTGTGAGCCCTGATTTAAATGTCCGAGTTTCCTCGGGAGAATTTGAATGGCTTTCAGCATCTCCTCGTTGCGATGTCGGTGGTCAAAAAAAAGAGGAACTGAGAATTTGCTAAATAATTTTAAAATTTATTCCTTAGTACACGGGGAGGAGACAAAGCTGCAGGAGCCTGTGATGCTCCTGCCTTTACAGTGGTTCGTTTTTTCTTGCCAAGTCCTGGAGCTGCCTCCCAACAACCTCGGAGATGAAGTCCAGGAGAGCAGATCCGTGGTGGTTCCTCCGTGTCCGAGCAGCCTCAGGAGGGGGAACCCCCAGGGAAAACCAAAACCCGGCAAGGGGAGAACGCTCCGAATTTAAAAATTTAAAGTGTCAGTGCCGGGGCCAAGCAGGGCATTCCCAAATCTGACGTGCAAAAAAAGCAGCAGCGAGCTCAGAGCATCCCTTGGGCAGGGGGGTGAACCCCCCAAACCCAACCAGGAGCTGGGGAGGGGTCCCTGGGCTCAGTTCTTCACGCAGAGGGGCACCAGCGTCACCTGCTTCTGCTGCTGGTGGCCGGGGTGAGGCGGCAGGGGGACAACGGGGGGACAGCAGCGCTGGGAGGGCCGGGGGCAGCAGGGCACGGGCCGGGGGCAGCAGGGCACGGGCCGGGGGCACCGCTGGATGCAGGGACAGCGATGATGCAGCGGCTGCAGGACCACCGGGGGCTCCTCATCCTCCTCGGGACGTTGCTCCACTCGCCTGCGGGGCTTGCCCGGGTCGGGCTCCGGGCACGGCGGGCACGGGCGGTGCTGCTCCAGAGGCCGCCGGTGGATCCTCACGGGCGGGGGGCACGCGGGGGGCACCGGGCTCACCTCCACCCGCCGCCGGGGCTTGCAGCTCTGCGGGGCTGGGCAGCAGGAGGGCCGGGGTGGGCACAGATCGCCGGGGTGGCAGCTCTGGGTGGAGCCCTCGGTGTCGTGGCTGAGGGTGCCGGGGTTGGGGCAGATCTCGGGGGGGTTGGGGCAGGTTTTGGGAGGGTCGTGGCAGTGCTCGGTGGAGCTGGGAGGTGTCCTGTGCTGGCACAGGTCGTGGTCCGTGCCGCCTTTGTGCTGGAGCATCCTGGGGCAGAGATCACAGAATCGGGGAGTTATTGAGGGTGGGAAAGAATTCCAAGGTCATCCAGTCCAGCCTGTGATGGATAGTCCAGCCTGAGATGGATCAACATCACCCAGCCAGGAGCACTGAGTGCCACATCCAGGAACTCACCGGGCATCTCCAAGGATGGAGACTTCAAACCTCCCTGGGCAGCCCCTGCCAAGCCCTGACCCCTTTCCAGGAGGAAATTCCTCCCGAGTCCAACCCGAGCCTGCCCTGGCACAGATTCTCCCCTCCTGTCCCTGTCCCCTGGGAGCAAAACCCGACCTCCCCGCTGTCCCCTCCTTGTGCAGAGCCCAAAATTCCCCCTGGGCCCCCTTTTCTCCAAGCTGAGCCCCCCCAGTTCCCTCGGGAGCTGCTTCTCCCATGACTCACAAATCCTTTGAGGGTGACCAAGCCCTTGGGCATAAACAACCTGGGAAAACGCAAACAAAAAACCGACGCCTCTTTTTTCTTTCTTTTTTTTTTTTTTTTAGTATTTCCAAGGAATCGGAGAGAATCCAACTCACCCTGCGAGCAGAAACGGACGGGCTGAGCAAGGAATCGGAGTCCTGAGCACAGAGAGCCGGGGCTGGAAGCTTTTATATGGGCCGAGCTGTGCAGGGAATGAGGCACGTCCTGGGAATGAATAGCTGAGCACTGAGGCCTCTGCCTTGTGTGTGTGTGTGTGTGTGTGTGTGTTTGTTCCTGGAGCTCTCTGTCGGGTTAATCAGCCCCAATTAACGCCTGGCCTGGTGTGGGCAGTGTTCTGCAGAGGCTGTGGCCATTATCTCATTAGTCCTGGTCGTGCTCGGATGGGCTCCTGCCCCGCGTTAGTCAGACGGGATCCCGGGATGGGATGCGGATACCTGGGATGCCGGGATGCTGAGTGATGTGCCCAGAAGGGGACTCTGGTGGAGGTGGGAAAACCACAAAAAAGCCCAGGAGTCCTTCCAGAGGGTGAGGAGGGAATCCAGGCTGGCCCCAGCACCGGGTGGGAGATGGGAATCCGGGATTCCTACAAACACCGGGCTCAGTGGCAGGCTGGGGATGGGATGTTTGTAGGTTTATTCCCTGATTTAAATGGATTAAATTAAATTAATTCGCTCCCAAATGTGGAGCACCTTGGCCATGGCAAGGAAAAGCCTTTTATGTGTGGAAAGTCTGGAATGGGGACACCAGAGGAGCGATGACCTCACGCAGAAACAATTCCAGGCTCTGCCAAGCACCGTGTCCAGCTTTCTGGCATTTTTGCTTTGTGGAGCTGCTCCAGTTTGCATTTCTGTGGCCGAGACATTTTTGAAGCACCAGGAAAATTCCTCTCCCAGGAGCCCCGCGGGGCTCCAAAGGCATTTCCATGTGGAGTAAGGGATGCTCGGAGCTCTGCCCGGTGGAATTTGGGTTTGAATCACTGGGAAAAGCATCCGCAGAATTCGGGGGTGTGGCTCCAGGGCTGCGCTGGCACCTGACAGGGCTCTGCTGTAATTTATTCATTTATTCCGTAGCTACAGGAGAAGTGGAATTGCCTGGCAGGAGGCCACGGGATTTGTGTGGAAAGATGAAAATCGGGATCTGTTAGGGCCGAGCAGGATTTTAGGTTTAGAACTCATTGCCAGAGCCCCAAGTTGATGCTGTGTTTGGATTTTTTTTTTCACATTAAAGGAATTTTGGAGCCACTTCCCTTCCTGAGGATTTCACAAATCCCCGAGTGTGAATATTGAATTTCTGATCTGGTCTCTTAAAGTATCCCACATTTTAATAGAATCCAGAGAAAATGACTCAGTGTTTTTGGATCCTTCAGGCTGGACCTAAATCTGATCAGCCTGGGTTAGTGGGAGGTGTCCCTGTCCATGGCAGGGGTGGGACTGGATGAGATTTAAAGTCCCTTCTAACCTGAACCACCCTGGTCTGTTTAATAATTTTAAAACCTCTAAAAGCTCAGCAAGAGCTTTTAAATGTGGGAAGATTCCCATTAGGAATAGAAGACCTCCAGCTCTGGCTTTAGGACCACAGAGATGCTTTGGTCTCAAACTGGATCTCAAATCAGCAGGAGAAAAATGAATTAAACTGATTAAATGAATGAATTAAACTGTCACCTCTTGCTGAGGTGACATTTTTCACTTGCAAGTCCCATTTTCCCCCAGGTGAACCTAAAGAGTTCACCGGGTACACCGGGGCGTTGTCGTCACAGAATGCCAAACATGCAAAATTAATTACATTAATCAATTAGGCAAACGCTAAACACATCCCACACTACTGTTTAAGGGATAAAGAGAAATGAATAAACATAATCCAGGAGTTTGCAGGGTCAGAAGTTACAAATTTTATTGTCTTTCATGACTAATTGGGGATTAAAGAAAGAGAAGGGAGAAGGAAACTGTCCCATCACCAAGAGGGGAAGGAAGAGCAGCGCCAGAAACTCGCTGGGCAGCAGCTTCAGGGCACAGCCAGGGGACTAAAGGCAGCAAAAAGAAATTCTAGGTGTCCAAACACAGCAGGAGGAGTGTTTGGGCTGGGATCCATGTCCATATCCATGTCCAAATCCATGCTGGAGCCGGGAATCCACCAGGTGAGCTCAGTTGCCGCAGCAGCCGCCGCCGCAGCAGCCGCTGTTGTTGTTGCTGATGGTGTAGCAGCAGGACATGGGCATGCAGCAGGACTGCACGGGCATGCAGCAGGGGCTGCAGCACTGCATGGGGCTGCAGCACATGGGGGTCTTGCAGCAGCGGGGGCTGCTGTAGCAGCACACGGAGTAGTTATTTCCACTGCCGCAGCATCCGTTGGGCATCTTGGGTGTGGTGGGAGAGGAGGCGGAGCTGGAAGGAGCAGAGAGAGGCTGTGAGGGGGAGCAGCGGGTTTGGAATTTGGGGAGAATTCAAGGCTCTGGTCATTCATTCAGCTTTGGGGGTTCAAGGAGGGCAAACCCAGGGGTGTCCTGTTTATAAATGATGTTTTGCCCGTGATGCCGGGGCCCAATGGCTCATTCTGGTGTCTTAGGAGGATCAACCCACTCTGGACCCTTCTGGAATGTTCTCCACGCCCTTCCCCTGCATGGCCCTGCTGATAGTCCCAGAGCCTCCCTGAACATTCCCAGCTCATCCCCGAAACTCCTCGTGCAGAGTCCATAAAACCCTGACTTCAATTCCCTTCCTAGACCCCCAGAAATACTTAGATCTGCTATAAATATCAGATATCCAAATTTTAGATATCCAAAATTCCCTTTTGGGAGGTGAAGGAAGGGTTAGAAGTTCTTACTTACCCTGCTGAAGAGCGAGGAGAGCTGAAGGTAGGAGAAGATGAGCGAATGAAGCGAGCTGGGCCCGGAGCCCTTTTATACTCCCGGCCATCCTTCCTCCTGGAAGTGAGACAGCCATTGACCATTCCAGCTTCCCTGTTTATCCATCCAAACCCATATTTTTTAGCCATAGGTGTCGCCTGGAATTTGCATTTCGCCTCATTACTGGTGATCCACCACGCTCCTTCTGCCTCGTCATGGTTTAGCCTGGAGATAATCAAAGGGCTCCCGTGAATTTGGATGAATTTGTCCTCATCACAACCTTGTGAGGGAGCTAAAAAATGCGGCCTCGTATCTGCTGGATGGAGATGTTCTGGGACTGACTCAGCAGCAGCTGGTGCTGAATCAGTGCTGGAGCCCAAACCCAGCCCCGGCGTCGTGCCGGTCGTTCCGTGGGGATGGCGTTTGGAGCAAATTGGGGGAAATGTCAGGAAGATGGGGATGTTTGTTTGCTCCTGGTCACTGAATGTGCACGTGAGGAGGGAGCCAGGAGTGTTTGGGATGTCTGGGGCTCAGTCACCCGCATGTGACTCCGTGAAAATGCGTTGTGGAATGGTTTGGGTTGGAAATGATCTTCAAGATCATCCAATTCCACCCCTCTGCAGGGGACATGGGCAGGGACATGTCCAGGCTGCTCAGAGCTCCATCCCACCTGTCCTTGGGCACTTCCAGGTTTGGGAAGTTCTCAATTTATTAATTTTTTATTTTTATAACTATTTTATTAATATTCAATTAAAAGGTTAAAGGGTAGCTCTGCCTGTGCAAGAGGCAACATGAGGGATGGCGGCTCCAAGAATGGATGTGGAACACCCCAAATCAACATTTCCCTCCTGCAGTGTCCAGGTGAATTCCAGGAATCCTGGAATCCTGGCCCTGAGCAGGGATGGAGGGCTTTGGACTTGGCGCAGGACCCTCTGAGCGTATTGGAAATGGAAGGAGCCCAAAATGAACCAAAAGTGAGAAGACTGAGGTGGAAGAGAAGGGCCCAGCACAGAAACTGCTCCTCACTGGGCTGGTGGAGCTGAGTGGGAGGCAGGGACTCAGGAAGAGACTTTGTTGAGGTGAAACTATTTTCTGTGAGGGAAGGGACATCAAGGCAGGGCAGAGCCTTGGGCAGCTGGAGCCTGGCAGGAGCACCGGGCAGGAATTTTGGGAGGAATTTTTTACACGGTCTGAAATTGCAGCTCTCAGTCGAGGACCACATTATCCTGAGAGCTGCCTAATGAGAGGATGGAGGATCCTGCCTGGCCAGTTCCCTGCTGCTGCCTGACATCCTCAGGGATCCCAGGGCTGCTCAGGAGAGGGGTCGGCCCAGGTGAGCTGGAACCAGCCCCGAGGACGGTGGCAAGGACCTTGCTTTGCTCTCTGTGCGGTGCAAGGGGGAGCAGAATGAGATTTTAGAGCTGTTTCATCCCTGCAGGAAATGCCAGCAGCTCCTTTCCAGGCTTCCCAGGCATGACAGCAATTCCTGGAGTGAAACAAGGGAGAAGCAAATTGGTGATTGTGACTTCTGCGTGAAGGGCAGGAGAACACGCGCGGCATTTCCTTCCTGATGGGACAGACAAACCCACCTGGACAGATCAATTTTTTAATTTACAAGGAATTAATGGGGCAGAAGCAAAGGGATGCACTCCACTTGTGCCTCCAGAGGGAGGTTTTCCATTGGCAGCTGTGAGAAGGGAGGTGGAGGTGGGCATTTCCCACCCTGGATGGTCGTGTCCAGCTCAAGGTACCCAAATCATTTTTGGGAGGTGGGGTGAGCATCACAATGTAAACAAGGGACTGAAGCAGTGTGGAAACAGAGTCAGAAAAAGGCATAAAATGCATCCAAAGGATGGCAGTGCAGAACTTTCATGTTTTGGTAGAACCCCAACCAACCCTTGAAGGCAACAGAGGTTCCTCAGTATTTATTTTACAAACAAATGTCTGGTAACTCAGTTTGGCAGAGGCAGAACCTCCATGTCCTGAGTGTCAGACTGTCTGCAGGGACTGGCTGTGGGTCCTGAGGCAGATTTTGGCTGTCTGGGATGTGTCTGTGTCAGACTCTTCCTGAAAACATTCCTGGTTTTTGTGAGTTTATGAATTATTTTCATAGAACCAGAGACCGTTTTGGGTCAGAAGGGACCTTAAAAATCACTTATTCCACCCCTTGACATGGGCAGGGACACCTTCCACAATCCAAGGTGGCTCCAAGCCCTGTCCAACCTGATCTTGGGCACTTCCAGGGATGGCACAACCAGAAATTCCCTGGAAAACCTGTGCCAGCTCCTCACCACCCTCACAGAGAACGATTTCTTCCCAATATCCAACCTCAATTTCAGACCCCACTCCTCCTTGTCCTGTCACTGCAGTTCCTGATGAAAAGTCCCTCTCCAGCTTCCCTGGAGCTGCTCCATATCCTGGTAGGTGCTGTGAGGTCTCCACACAACCATTTTTTTTCTCCTATTTCTCTGCTATTTTATACAGAGAGGGCAAATATCATTCCCAGAGGTGCCAGAAACTCCAGTTTGAATTAATTTACCATCAGGAATACCCTGATTTCATTTGAGTGAACACCTTGGAGACAGGAGAATCCCGACACTGTGAAAAAACACCGGGAAAAGATGAAAGGTGTGGCCAAACCCCCTGGATCCACCAGCGAACAAACAGCTCAACACCAGGAGGTTGCAGGGTCACAAACTACAGGTTTTATTGGGTTTTTTTTCCAGAAAGATTGAAACGAAACAGTGATGAAAAGAGTGAAACATCCCACACACCGAGAGGAGAACGAAGAGCAGCGCCAGCGCTCGCGGGAGGAACTCGCCGGGCGGCGGCTTCAGGGCACATCACAAGAATGAGGTGAAGGAAGGCAGGAGAAGAAGAGGAGTTCTACAGCTTCTAAGCACAGGAGGAAGAGCAGCGTTTGGGGTGTTATCCATATCCAAATCCGTATCCAAGAGGGAAAGAGCCGGGTGGGTTTAGTTGCCACCGCAGCAGCCGCCGCTGCTGCCGCCGCCGCAGCAGCCGCTGTTGTTGCTGGTGATGGTGTAGCAGCAGGGCATGGACATGCAGCAGGACTGCATGGGCATGCAGCAGGGGGTGCAGCAGGGGGTGCAGCAGGGGCTGCAGCACTGCATGGGGCTGCAGCACATGGGCCTCTTGCAGCTCTTGGGGCTGCTGTAGCAGCACATGGTGTAGCTACTTCCGCCACCGCAGCATCCGTTGGGCATCTTGGTGATGGGAGTGGAGGCGAAGCTGGAAGGGAAAGAGAGAGTTTGTGTTTTTCTCTGCTTGAATCTCTCAGAGGCTGAGGCAGCTGAAAGCTTTCTTATCCCCAAATCCATCCCAAACTGGCCAGGGAGGTGCCTGGTGTCCTGAATCCCAGGACAGACTCATGTGCTTCTGGCGTTTTGTCCAGCACTAGTACTGCCAGAGAGAATCCAAAACCAATCCAAAAGGCAGCCCAAAACCAATCTCTGCTCCCCAAAACCAATCTCTGCTCCCCAAAACCAATCTCTGCTCCCCAAAACCAATCTGTGATCCCAAAATCTTCTGCAGGGTCCAGTCCCAAACCAGACAGCCCAGAAAACCCTGGAGAAGCCCAGGGAAACAGAGAGTCCCAAAGTAAAGACAAGTAGCAAAGTCCAACTTACCCTGCTGAGCAGTGGAGAGAGGAGAGGAGAAGTGGAGATGATCGAATGAAGACCCCTGGGCTGGGGGGAGCCTTTTATACGCTCCAAAGCCTCCTCCCCTGGAAATGAGGCATCCCTTGGCAATTCCGACCCCGTGGATCACCGGGGTACCCCCTCACGTGTCTTCCTCCTCCGGTGTTTAATCTCTGCCTCTTTCTGTTTGCTCACCACCTCAATTGTGCCCCATAATTACTCCTCCAGAGGAAACAACAGATGCAAATTTTCTAATGGATTTGCGTTAATGGCGCCGGAGGGAGGGACGGAGCTCTGAGGTGTTCCCATCCCTTCCCAAGGAATGACCTTGGGACACAGGGACGCTTAACAATGTGCCTGGGGGGAGCCAGCTGCTGAAGCAGTGGGACAGCCATGCCTGGAACTTGGAGTTGTCATTGCTCATGTGTCCCCTCTGCCCTTGGCCAGAATCTCTGGGGGTCAGTGGAAATTTTTGGTCAATGGGAATCCTTTTTTTTCCTGCCTCTGTGGTCAAAGTTTAGGCTGAAATTTCCCCTTTCTCAGTCTTGCTCTTGGGCCTCCCTTCAGGGTGCTAGGTCCTCACAATCCCTGTTTTGTAATTTTGGTTTTATTATTAGGATTTTTTTTTGTTTTCATCCATGGAATGGATGAGTTGAGTCTAAATGAAGCGGCTTTCAAAGCAACAGTGCATATGGGAGGGTTTTTCCCTGTGTTGTTCCCACACATCCCATTTTCTGAGATTATCCCAAAGGTTTCTGGGACTGAGGATCACTTGTGGTGATCACGTTTGAGTGCTCACATGAGGAACTGTGGCCACATGCAGAGCAGGGACAGCTCCACGTCGGAAGATGTTGACGGTGCCTCCATGTGATGAGAGGAGCCTCTGGTAAAAGATGGGAATTCCAGGATGCTGAGGCAGCACCAATTCATGGCAAAAAGAGGCTGCCATCACATCCAGGAGGCTCTGACTGTGAGGCTGACGTGGTGGCAGGTGATCCCCGGTGACTGGGACAGGATCTGCCTTTCCAGGATGTGAGCACGACCTCTTGTGACGTCGGGTGTCCCCTCTGGAATTGTCCCCAGGGGAGGACATTGTTTGGGTCGCTCAATAACAACCAAGAGTTGCCTGCAGGAAGCAACGTCCTCCTTGTGTAAACCCTCAAACATCTCCCTTGAATCAAGCATTCATCGCATTTTTATCGGGGTTTATTGCTGTCCTGTTGGCCAAGATGATTCTGGTATTGTAGTCATAGAAATACCAAATGATTTGGGTTGGAAGAAACCCCAAAATCATCCAGTCCTGGATGGGCAGGGACAACTTCCACTATCCAAGGCTGCTTCAAGCCCTGTCCAGCCTGGCCTTGAGCACATCCAGGGATGGGACACCCATGGAATATCCTGTGCCAGGGCATTGCCACCCTCACAGGGAAGGATCTTTTTCCAATATCCCATCCAAACCTGTCTCTTCTCCAGACTGAGCCACCCCACCACTGTCAGCAATTAGAGCATTTTCCCTGCGGTTCAACGCCATTTAACCTGAGTTTGGGTCAGAAATAACATCTACAAAAAGTTCCTTTTATAGGCCACGCCCCATCCTGCCATGTTTTTTGGAAACTTTCATGGTGGTTCTGTGAGTCTGAGATTTTTGGGAGATTTTTGGGAATCTGTTCCTGCAGCTTTTCCAGTGTGGGGTAAGACCATGTTGGATGGAGCTCTGGTCTAACTGCAGGTGTCCCTGTCCATGGCAGGGGTGTTGGAACAAGGTGGTTTTTGACATCCCTTCCAACCCAACCCATCCCATGATTCTGTGATTCAAAGATGGAATGAATATTATGAATATTCACAAGATTCCTTAAAGAGAAAGTTCTTTATTGAATGTTCTGATCTGGGATATCCTCCTGGCTGATTTACAATAAATAAAAACCCTCCTGAAGACCCAAGAATGTTTTCAGAGAGTCAAACACGTAGAGAAGATGATTTGAATGCAGATGTCGCTTGTGAAGGTTGGAGGAAGCAAATCAAGCCAGAGCTCCAGGCATTTTCTCCAGACCTGCAATTCCCAGCTGAGTCCTGCATTTTAATAGCAAAGAAAGTCCCAGCCAGGGAGGGAAGGTATCGTTGACTCATGGGTTTGCTATTTTAGGAATGAGGCTTTTAGATTGGATGCCAACCCCAGGTTTCATTCCTGGCTCGGAACGCGCAGAGGAAACGCTCTGTTCCTGTAAAAATTCAACGATTTCTGGGGGTTTCTAAGCTTTTCTTTTTCGAAGATGGTGGTGGGAAGAAGATGCTGCCTGCTGTCCAGTGAGTAGTGAATTCCTCCTGATATTCCTGTTGGAATGTCCCTTCTGAGGTCAGGGGCGAGCTCCTGTGCATCTCAGAGCTGTCCACAACTTCCTCCTGAGGGGCAGCTCCCATCTCTGCTCTGGGATCGGGGGCAGGACCTGAGGGAACAGCTGGAGCTGTGCCAGGGAAGGTCTAGGTTGGATATTTCTGGAAGGTTCTTCCCCCAGAGGTTGGTGGGGCACTCACCAGGCTCCCCAGGGAATGGGCTTTGCCCCAAGGGTGCCAGAGCTCCAGGAGCATTTGGATAATGCTCTCAGGGACAGGGTGGGATTTTAGGGTGTTTTTGGAGGGACAGGAGTTGGGCTTCATGAGCCTGGTGGATCCTTTCCAGGATATTGGAGGAGTCTCTGATTTCACAGCACTCTGATTTATGGAGTGCTGTGTTTTCAGACTGTGCAGTTACGCCTCCTCGCTCAGTCCTCCCCCTCTGAGTTTTAATTACTTCAGCTTTCCGTTCTGTAGTAAAATATGAGTGAGGTGAATGCTCAGGAAGGTCTAAAAGGAATCAAGGAATGGTTTAGGGTGGAAAGGACTTTTAATTTTTAAGTTCATCCCCTTCCTCCCCTTGACATGAGACACCTCCCACTGTCCCAGGCTGCTCCAAACCCTCCAACCTGGCCTTGGACAATTCCAGGGATCCCGGGGCACCCACAGCTCCTCTGGGCACCCATTCCAGAGGATCGGGAATTCTCTGCTTGCTTCAGACACAACTCAATGTGTGCCATGGTCAGCTCTTTGTGTCCCAAATGTGTGTAGACCTTGGCCAAAGGCACAGGTGGTGCCAGAATGAGGACAGAATCCTGGGCAAAGTTAAAAATCCTAGGCAAAGTGACAAGTCCTGGACAAGATGGAAAATTCTGGGCAAGATGACAAGTTCTGGGCAAGATGACAAGTTCTGGACAAGATGAAAAGTGCTGGACAAGGTGGCACATCCTGGGCAAGTCGGAAAATTCTGGACAAGGTGAGAAATCCTGGGCAAGGTGGAAGATTCTGGGCAAAGGGACAAATTCTGGGCAAAGGGACAAATTCTGGGCAAAGGGACAAATTCTGTGCAAAGGGACAAATTAAGGGCAAAGCCAAGTAAGAACAACCAAAAGACCAAATGTTGCGTTTTGCTGAATGCCAAGTTTTATTGTCTACAAGTCAAGAGAGGAAATGAGGAGCGGTCACAGTGACACCAAAGGTTTCCCAAACACCAAGAGGAGAATTAACACCCCACTAATATCTAATGCCGTATACGATGGGTGGTAAATTCAGGTCAATAATTAATTAAAGACAGTCAATAACTAAAGACAATTGATAAATAAGGGACAGAAAGAAGCAACTGCTTAAGGAAGGAAGAAGAAAATCGCTATGAATTGTCTCCATCACCATGAGAACCAGAGGGAAACGAGGAGCTTTTCACTCCTCTGTGCCCATTTTCAGAGCCACCTGGGGCAGTTTAGCAGGTCTTCCTGAGGCTGGCACAGCACTGCTGGATGGGGATGCAGGGGGTGCAGTACTTCCTCACGGGGGTGCAGCAAACCATCACGGGCTTCTTCACCACGCAGCAAGGAGAGCAGCAGGGCCGTGGGACACAGCACACGGACTTGTGGCACACCTTGGTGCAGCACACAGACTGGCACGGGTCACAGCAGGACTGGCACGGGTCACAGCAGGACTGGCACGGGTCGCAGCAAGGCTTCTGGCAAGGGTCACAACAGGACTGGCATGGGTCACAGCAGGACTGGCATGGGTCACAGCATGGCTTCTGGCATGGGTCACAGCAGGACTGGCACGGGTCACAGCAAGGCTTCTGGCACGGGTCACAGCAGGTCTGGCATGGATCACAGCAGGGCTTCTGGCATGGATCACAGCAAGACTGGCACGGATCACAGCAGGGCTTCTGGCATGGGTCACAGCAAGACTGGCATGGGTCACAGCATGGCTTCTGGCAAGGGTCACAGCAGGACTGGCATGGATCACAGCAAGGCTTCTGGCATGGGTCACA